GGACAGATTTTGATGCCTGTTACATTGCTGTAAATAACTTGCACAGATCATCTCCCAAGATGAAAGCAGGAGGAACTCCAGCAGTTCTTGCATTTATAAGAATACATTTTCTAATCAAAACCTGATCTGCCTCTCTGAACTACAATTTAAAAAAAAAAAAAAAAAATCCACTTTTGCCTTACAAACTTTTTTCTGTTGTCCTACAAAAAATCAAAACAGATTGGAAAAGGTGGGATTTTCAGTAGTGTGTGTCAGCATTCCATGCATCTTTCACAAAAGCCAGCTCCTACAGTTAGGAAGATTATTTCAGAGAATGATCCTGTCCCTTTACAGCAGGAGGTAACCTTACTGTTAAAAATCCCTTCAAGGCAAAAAGATCATGGGTGGGGGGAAGCCATAAAAAAAGATGATAGCCTGACCTGCTTGCCAGCTGCATCAGCATTCAAGTAAAGTTTAAAGTACCTTTGTGGGACTTTAGAGTCTTGGAGGGTCAGACCAGCTTATTTTAACAAGTGTAATATGCACTTTGAAACAGCCTTGTCATCTGCTTGTTTAAACTAAAAAACAAAACTCAAAAACAAACAGGAGCAAAGGAAAGGTATAGGAAAGGTCTCAGCATCAGTATTAGACTGCAGAGTGTTGTCTAGACACTGACACTTGATATTCTTGCCTTCCTTTCTAATGCATTAAAATATCATGAAGTCATGCAGCCATTTTAAAGGAGTATTTCAAGAGTCCAGTTTTTGTAGAGGTTAACTTGATCACCAGCACAGCACTGGAGAAAGCTGATCTAACAGTATTTCACTTACAGAACTCTTCAAAGGAAAACAAGAAATACAATTCCACAAATAACAATGCCAATTAAAAACACAGAAAGCAAATTGGTTTTTCCTCGGTGTTTTTTCTTAGACATTCTTTCAGAAAAAAAATTTTCTTCCCCTATCTTTTTCTTTAAAAGAAAATTTTCTAACCAGCCAGATTTTAGAGCTATCTTCCATCTACACGCATCTAAGCTTTTTTGAAACTGCCTACACAGTTTTGGGGGCAGAGGATTCCCTCTCCTAAATTTCAGAGCCATCTAAATGGCATCCACTTGTTTTGCCTTGTTTCTCCTCTTGAATTTGTCCATTCCCCTTAGCATTTCACAGGCCAATACTACTGCTCATCTTCTCCATGCCCTTTCCATGTAGTTTCTTCTATCTTTACATGTATAAAATCACAGTTTGTCTAACATTGTTTTAAAGGAAGAAAATAAAATACACACACACACACATACATTGTATTGGTGAACACTATACACTAAATATTTTTTTCAACAGCATAACAGAAAGTTTGGCCTACTGTAAGTTGAACATGTAGGGAAGGCTGAATTTTTACGGTTGCCATGCAAGCCACCTTCAAGACAAAACAGATGAACCCACCCAAAAGCAAATGCAGCTTCTACTCTCAAGCCATTAGACAAATACTGCCTTTCCAGGGATCAGACTGACATATCGCCAATTCAGTCAACGCAGTATTTAGAGAACCACACTTAGTTGCTTCTGCATCAGTCCTCTGAATCCAAATGCTGTTAAAACCAAAGGGGGAAGAAGGTATTTGACTTGCCTTATTATTATTAATATGTATATATTTTGATAACACTTTGAATTTCAATTTACTTCTGAAACCTTGCCCTTTGAGAAGAACACACCCTTTAAGCTGACTTTTTTTTTCAGGCTTCTGTTCCTTTAAAATTCTCTCTTCTGTTCATTTTGCTGTTCTTTTTCAATTATCTACTAGAAAACTTGCTTTCTTCCAGCAGAAATGCAGCTGGTGGACTTGGGCTTTCACTGCACCCGCTCTGTGAAATTCTCTGGGAAAACCCCCCGGCATTGGTCAAGTTCCTTATGCTGGATCCAGTCAGACTCCTTCACGCCCATCAGCCATCCTTCGTCCTGGAGGAGAAGACAGAGATCAGATGCTGAGGGATAGATGTGAGCAGGGATTTTTTTTTTACAGAGTGCAGGCCAAGGAGGTGTCAAGGCATTATCAAAGCCATGCTCGTATTTGGCTTGGAGACAATCTAGGAAGAGGATGGGGGAGATGGAAAAAAAATTCTTTCGTTCCTTTTCAAACAGGGAGAAGGCTACATCCCACCAGAGTTGGTACCAAAACTCCTGTCTGACCCAGAGTGCCTAGAGACAGTGAAATTGTAAACAACTAGCAAGTGTAATAGAAACATGTCATAATTTACACCCACTGAAGCAGGAGATATTCTGCCAAAGAAAGTCTCTAGAGCTACAGGATGGGAATCACCTATCTCACCTTTCACAATCTAAACATGAGGGGTCTAGCATTCTCCGTAGTCATAAAAGAGACGGGCACCTCCACCATCCAATTCATCCTACTCATCTTGGGCACAGGTCTTTGGAAAGAACGAATCATTCCCTGGAAGTGCTCATCCCCTGCTCCAGTCAGGGCACCTGGATGATTAGCATTTTAGAGAGGTGGTACAGGCAAAATGAGTCTTGTTTGCTCTGCTGAAATTCTGGTCTATGAGAATTGGGAGCTAAGGAGCTCAACCCATCTTCCCAAAACCCAGCAGTCTGTTGGACTTGATGCAAGGTGAGGTTGGCAAAACTCCTAAACTTGTCCTACACATGATGCAAGACCAAAGGTGTCTCACAAGGGTTCTCTCTAGCCACCAAACCTATACATCTATAAACAGGGATGAATTTTCACTGAGGCAAATGGAGTCCTGCCTGGCAGAACCTGCTCAGGAGGAGAATCAGACTTCCCACACTTTACCTGCAGGGTGTCTAGCACCAAGATTTCTGCTCCATCTGAAGCACGAGGGAGACGAGACATTCAAGGTGGGAAGGCTGCACTGCTTGCAGCTCAGGTCTGCAACCACCCCATTCTTTGCATGCCTTGGACTGCCACCATGAAAGCACCCCTTCAGCATGCAAATATACCCACTCATGTGAGTGGGGCAGCCTATGGATTAAGACTGCAGCATGAGGCAAGAGAGCTCCATGGGAGACCACTGCCTCCAAACTCAACAGCCTGCTCTGCATCCACTCCTTTGGGCAAAGCATGCACCAGTCTCATTTAGAGATATGTTATCACATTCAACTATACAACTTGCCAGGGCAGAAGTGCTCAGGCAACCAGATGCTCTAAGCTGTGGGGAAACGGGGCATGTGTGAGTGTGGTTCACACAGTTGTTCTGACACTTCTGCTTTCCTGGAACTGGCAGGAGTTACCTGAGTAATTACCCAAGGCCAAGCAATGCCTCCCTTGAAACATGTTCTTTAAAAACATATGTGCACAGTGCAGGAGTGATGCAGCCCTCGCCACAGGTGATCCATGGGGCATGTATTGCTTTCTGCTGCCATTTTGCAGCTTCTGCCCTCTTATCCTATTTTCTGCACATTTCATGTGGCAGCAGATCAGACCAGCCATTGTATCCGAGTTCCCTGCTCCTTGCAGGCTGTACTGGGTGCCTGCCGGCTCAGTTAGCCCTTGCTGCTGCCTTAGATTTGAGCATTCAGGGGATGTCATGGGAATGGCATGAGACGGGAGCCCATCTGCAGCAGCCAGCTTGCAGGGGCTGCGGAAGGACTGACATGCCATAAATCAGGAAGACAAATGACTAGGTGGAAGACGCTGGGCCCAAGTGTCTGGAAGGCAGCTTCCAGCTCACAGCATGGCAAGCACAAAAGCTCATCCGTTTGCACATAGCATCTGTGCCATACAGCATGCATCACTCCCACTGCATCGTGCTAAGAAGGGTCTCCTTAGCTTTAGGGATTAGACACAGGGACCCAGATTGACCCTTGCCAATTTTGAACCACGTCACTTGAAGTTCCAGCTTAGAAGCGTTGCTGCCCTCAACCCTTTCTTCTACCCGGAGAGATGAATCCAGGCCTGGCTGATGTACCCACAAACTGACACCTAAGCTGCAAGATGGGGACATGGATCACAGTTTATTATCCTAAGCTTCCTCCACTCACGTGCACAGTTCATGCACATGTTAAGAGCCAACATTTTCTGGCTGAGTATGGTCGGGGTTAGGGAAACCAGCTGTAGCAGAGGATACACTGTAGGAGGGTTAGAGGGCTTCAGTTCAGCTACAGCATTGTGTTAGCAACACTCAGAGCTCACCCTCTGCAGCTTGGAGAGTCTCGAGTTCATGGCTGTTGCACCCACATCCAGCTAGAGTGCAAACATAAGGCATTGAAAAACTCTGCTCCACAAATGCCATCTCCTACCACAGAAACTAGGGGAGCTGTCACTCATTTTCCATCCAGAAAGCTTTCTGAGAAAGAAATGCTCACAAATGCTTGTGCAGGGCAGTCCCACTCAGTGAGAAGTTTTGTGTCCAGAAGGAATCACTGCCTCTTCCCCATAAAGCCCTTCCCCCCAGAGCACCTAGCTGGCACATTATAGCTCCCACTTCACAAGCAGCAGCAAGATCTGCCTCCATAATTCACAAAGCCAACAGCTTAGCCACAAAGAGGATCCACATCTTCTGTGACCAGTGAACTACATCACCTTCCCTTTACCCCTTGTGGAATCCAGATCTTGTCTGGGCTTGGCCAAACCCAAAGAGCTGGTGACTACTGAATCAATTTGGAGAATTCCCTTCCTTTTCCAAACAAAAACCTGGAGACGTGAGCATAAATTTTAGAAAATCACCACCTCCCTCAGCCGAAGTAGTAAAACTGCTGCAGATTTTATCAGCTGGAAGCCCTCAAACACAGCAAGTGAGGAGGATTTACTCAAGGCTTCTAGAAATAGCTCAGATTAAAGAAAAACATCACCAATTAAATTCAGGTTGGGGACGGACAGTAAGACTGTTCTCTGGGGCTGAGCAACCTGCTCCAGCCTTTGATTCTGCTGCCATCTCCTGACCAAACACTGCCTTTCCAAAATAGCCATTGCTATGCTGAAGTGCAAGACATCATCCACAGCAAGCTGCTTTCTCAGAGCTCCAGCATTTCTCAGAAGGGGAGAAAACATCATCATAAGCTGTGGGTCACTCCTGCCAATGCCACAGTCTGCACTGCAGTGGTCACAGGGAATGTGCATCAAGTTTAGGAGCAGTGAGGAGGCAAAGTATGGGCTCTGTTGGGCTCCCTGATCAAGGAAGCCATTGTATTGGCTCAAATCCTTGATAGGGACAGGAAGTTATGGCTATTTCACATGCTTTATGCAGGATAATGTCTCCACTTTCCAATCACAAGCACAGTCCTCCCCTCTGTTGCAGAAAGCCAATCTCAAGCTCAAGGACAACCGGCTCTCCCGCCAGCTCCCAGCCACAAACTGATGGCTCTGCATCCAGCCAGCCGACTGTTAGTGGAGGAAGAAGCAGCTCTGGAAATCCCCTTGGCTCCTCCCAGCCCAGGCTCACACCCTGTCTTCCCCACTCACCTGCTCCTCAGGGTTCTCAAATGGAATCACAAGCACCACGTCCCCAGCCTTCAGCTGCAGCTCATCACTGTCAGTGGCCGTGTAATCATGCATGGCCTGGACCTATAGGAGGAGGGGAGGAGAGCTTGCGTGAGGCCAGCCTTCTCTCATCCAGCTCTGTAACAGGTGACAAGGCTTTCCACTTCATTGATTCACTGGATGGTTCAGGTTGGAAGGCACCTTTGGAGGCCATCTGATCCAACCTGCTGCTCAAGGCGCGGCAAGCTTGGATCACAAATGCCACATCTACGGGAATAACCAGTTCCCTTAACCTAATGGCTACGTGCTTGTTCATACAGCCTGGCATGCAGCTCACCTTTGCAACAAGGGCATCATGGTGAGTCTCATTCAACTTGCTATGCATCAGCACCTCCCCGTCCTTCCTTAGGAAGGCTGAATTGCCATGGTATGGGCCCAAAAACCTCATAGGGTAGAAAGCCTTTATTCATTCGAATGGTGCCCTGTATTCTTTTTGCAGCCGGACTGCAAGAGTATTAGAGATTATAGCCTCCCGTCTCTGTCACAGCAAGCAGGGAGAGGAAACGTAGGGAAGAGTATCAGTTTGGATCTTCGAGTGATTGTATCCTGACGTGTTTTCTCTTTGGTATTCAGCCTAATTCCTATCAACATCTGTGTTACAGCTTTTCCACTTCAAACCACTGCTCTCCATTTCAAGGATTACAGTCTATAATGCTGCCTGTAACCAGTCTAAATGTGATGAGCCTGCTAGTGTTTTTCAGGGTTTTGTCATTCTTCTGCTTTTGGTAGAGCTCCCAGAAAAAAAAAAAAAAGATGCATGGACATGCCTAAACCAGAAGAAAAGCATTCCTATAGCAGGAGACTGTCATTTCTCACTTCCAGGGCATGATGCATCTGTGCTGTCTTGCTACCATATTCCATTATGCACATTAAATTTGTGGCCTGTCCTTACCCAGAATCACTCCTTTCTCCACACCTTTGAAACAAGCTGCAAGTGATCTTTGACACATTCAGAATACCCACCAGACTTCCCTGTCTAATCCTATATTTTTCCTGTTTATCCTGGCTTTCTAATTTCCCCCTCTGTCCTACTGGTGTTTCCAACTCTTCTTCATTTGCCACTTGCATCAAAGTTTAACCTTTCCAGTTTGGAACACAACTTCTTATCTACTATCCAGAGTCTGTGACTGATGCTACCACACCACCAGAAATAGAAATAATTGCAGCAGAGAGGAGTGGTTTTGCTATACAGCACAGCCAGACGTTTAGACACTGATGCTCTTATAGAGTCCTTTGAAGCATCTGGAACTGCATGAAGCTGGGCTGCTGGAGAGCAAGGTCTATTTCTCCTTCAACTTCCTGTCTCCCTTTCAATGCGGCATAGCCTATGGCCACACTGAGCGAAAGCAGTTAATTCATTACAGGAAAAAAATCACCAGGAACTCGGTGCCCCACCACCACGCACTCACCTTGAACAGAAATCCTGGGGGCATGTCAGCTCTTTCAGACGAAGCGCCTCCCTCCACAGTGCCATTGACGGTAGCAGGGAAGGTTTCCACAACGACAGCAGGCAGAGAGCTCTGGTAGGCAGCAGCAGCCAGGGAAGGAAAAAAAGCCATTGAGAAAAGAAAATCCAAAATTGCAGCTCCAAGTCCACCCTGGGGGATCCACAGCCCAACCCTATCCATGGCTTCAGCGGGTTTTCCCAGCACACTGGTCAGTGACAAAAACAGCCCAAAGGACAGCAGAGGCAGCAGTGAGAAGGCAGGAGAGGTGACCGCTGTCTTCCTTAAGGCTGCAGAAGGGCAGAAAGGATTTAGAGTTTTTCTGGGACCATAATGCCTGGCATTTCCCATTCACCGGGGTCACAGTGCAGTTCTTGTAGAGCCCTCGTGGAACAGACAACTCAAATGGGACAGCCTATTGGAACCAAGCAGCCATGAGATGGGACCTACTCCAGTCCCCTACAAAGATGGCAGTGTCAAGAAAAAAAGAGGAACCCTGGATATTCAGGGGACACAGGCAGAGCCCAGAGGACAGGGCAGGTAAAGTAAGTGGAGAGCAAGGAGGAATCCAGCAGACAACACAAACTTAGCACAGCATGGGCTGTGGGCTGGCTTCACAACATGGGTGAAGGGACAGTTCTTTTTGTGGATCTTCCAGCAGAGCTTCTCCCTAAGCATTACACAGATAAAATGTAACAGCTAAGTCAGGCCTCTGAATAAGAGCATTGTAACTGCTGGGGTGGCAGGGATGTGTTTTTCCAAGCAGCCACACATCTCTTTTCCCAGCCCAGCGTCCCACATCTGCTGTATGACAATGGGATGTGATGGAGAAAAGGGACTCCTGTCCCTCAAGGTGCTTACCGATCCTGAATCAGCTTCAGTTTTAGATGCTTCAGCTCCGGCTACTGCTTCTGATCCAGCTGCTTCAGCTCCCGCATGGGCTGCTTCTGTAGGCTGCAATACAAAAGTCATCCAGGTGGAGAGTTATGCTTATTACAGCTACGTGTGTGTGCAGAAAAGCGCAGCTCAGTCTGTGCAAGTGCTCTATGCTGTTGACTGCTGCCATCTGCTGACAAATAGGTGAGAAACCTCAGGGTCTTGCTAGGTTTCTGTCTCCCTCTTTCTCTGCAACCCACTGAAATCACAGTAAAGCCTGCATTCCCTCACTCCAGCCACACAGCAGGCAATACTCCAGAGGAAATGAATGAAATGCCAGAAATCCTGTGCGCCTCTTTCTTTTCATGATCTAAGTCACAGACCTACTTTACACAGTATCTATTATTACATAAAGATTGCCCGCTTGTATGTGAATACAAGTCTGCTTGCATGCCAAGGGACAAGGATCTCTCCATAGGCTACATCCAAGGATCAACAAACAAGAAATATTTCAGCCTTTACATACTCCCAGAAACCAAAGAGCATGGTAATAATGTGTCCAGATACGGAACTTAGTCTGGACCCAGTATCTACATGACATTAGCACTGAATCAAATGGAACTGAAAACTGTGCTAACTTTCACCCAGTTTGATTCTGGATAGGCCCCAAGAGTCATGAATTTGGATTCTGTTGTGAATATTCTATTAGTAAGAATTTGCTATGAATATTCCGCATGGTGTGTGTGCACATGCACACATTTGTGTTGGTGGAGAGGGGAGTTTCTAATGCACAAAAGCTGCCACCACCAGGGAGAAATATTCAGCATCACCTACAAATCACTGCCTGGCAGAGACTGTTCTAGGAAGCCTGGGGACAGGAGTTTCTACGCACAACAAAAGACCAACCAAACACCTCTGATACACTTCCATCAGTTCAAGTTTTTATCCTCCCTTGCCTGAAGTCAGACTAACTCTGTTTTAACACAGAATTAAAGATATTCATTTGCCCCTCCCAGAAACTGCAGCAACACAGGAAGTAAGTTGGATCTGGTAGCAGCAATGCTGCAGATCAGCCCTTTGGGAGACTGGCCAGGCAGCACCTGGGAAGACTCCTGACAAGAACTTCAGGGGTCTAATTTGCAGCCCGAGTGTCTTCATGGCCAGGCCATATCCATTTGTTCTCTATACCAGATAGCATACGCGCCTCTTTGCAGAATCTAACCAGATACCCACTTTATACTTGCGCAATAGAGATTGCTATACGGAGATTTCCCACTTTTAATACATGTGAATAAACCAGCTTTATCATGCCTACATGCCTCACACGTTTGGTAAACATATGTACCCCTGAATACAACCACATTCAAAACAAGGCATTGTCCAGATTTCTTAATGTTACAATTCTCATAGTCCCAACCCTACAAAAGCCCAGTGGAAAGCAACAACCACGGTAACCCTTAACTCTACACCCATCTGGCTACTAGCCACGGACTAGCACAATGCTCCAAGTAGTTTTCTAATAACAGCAGCAATAATGAAGAAATAAATCCTTGATTTAACAAAAAGCCATTACTTTACCTTCAGCTGCTCCAATGGTGCCATTTAACACATGCTTTCCTCTTCTATCACATCCTTCCTCATGCCTCCCCATCACCATGTCCACAGGCCTATATTGCCAGAGGATATTATAAACAGCAAAGCTGTTCCCATCCTGCAGAGGATTCCCACAGCAGCTTTGGTAGTGCTAAGGTAAATGTATGCATATGAAATGCTACAAAGGCTTCTCCTGTTTAATTAGATTCACTCCCAGGTTGCTTTTTACTTGGATTCAGTGAAACTGGAACTGGGACTGATGCCAGGCCAACTCTATCTGGCCAAGCATGGTTTTATGTGGACAACTGAAAACTAGCTCAACATGAGCTCCTTTTTTAAAAGCAGCTAATTTGCAAAAACAGTATTTAATAACCAGAGAAACTGAATCTAAATTAATCCCCTGGATTTCAACAAAAGGCATTTTCATGTCAGCTACTTATTTTTCTATTTTACGTACCTGTGGGCAGCCCAAGGCCTATAAAAGCATTTACAGTCATGGAAAGATACTATAGGGAGAAGAGGAAGAATTGCTCACTGCTGTTGCCAGGTTTGAAAGCTTTGCTTGTTCCAACAGCAGCATCATACACATCAAATGCAAGTTCCCTAGTCTGCAGAACTAAGCAAGTTCTGCTGCATCCAAGTTTCTATGCAGTTGTTAACCCCATGGCATATGGGACCACGTAACCGTGCAACAAGTCTCCACTCATCAACAGCTAAGAACAACATTAGAGAAAAACACTTCAGCAGACTTGAAGAGCAAGAGGAGAATTCCCCAGCTATAGGGAGCTCTGCTCTTTAACCCTGTATGGTATACCAAGGTGAGAATTGGCATGGTGAGAACATCTTGTCTAGTAGCATTCCCCTGTTGATTAAATTGTCCTTTGGGTGAAATCAGTTTCTAGGATGGGAGAAATGGCCCAAAACACTTTTTACACCCCAGACTAAGCACAGCTCAATCAGATACAGTCATGCCTCACCCTTGCCCATCCACTTGAAAGGCACTAGATCTTTCCTTGCGAAAACAGACTTCTTTTCTTTCTTACTAAGACAGACTGACAATGCACATACAGGGGAACAACAGATGTTAAACACTGATGGCTGATAAAACACACAAGGGAAACATCTTTCTCGACATGACCCAAGCTCATGTGAAGGAGAGCCCTGGCCACAGTGAGTCCTTGGGCCAGGCTCTCAGCAAGGGTTAAGTCATGTCCTCCCAAGTACTGACTCTAGGTGGTGATCTGGCCCTTGAGAATGGAAAGGCTGGCAGGACTCGATTCCCTAGCATAAGCCAAGGACACATGCTTACATCTGCACCATGGGATATAGCCAGCTCAAGTAGCAGGCTTGAGTACCCAGACCAAGCGTTTTCTGCCCACACTGCTAGCTGTTTGTCCAGAGGGGCTCAAAATTAGTTGTGCTCGAAATACCTCTCTGGGCTAATCTGCAGCAATCTGAGACCTTCCCAGGCCCAATATATCTAGAGGGCATAAGTGAGGGTCTGGCTTTGGTTCAGATGCAGAGCATGTGTAGGGTCTCCCTTGTCAACAACCTCCAAAGCTGACGTTGAGGGAGATGCCAGGTAGGTCTTGGGCCTGCACTTAACTTTTAGCATAGACACAGGCTGAGCTATTTCACATCAACCTTTCTGGCAATGATGGTCAATGAACAGCAAACATCACAGATAATTCCAAACATGTATGTATACCCAATGGTACAGGCAGTAAGGACGAGGAGCAGCTGAGACATTTATGCATCACACACAAGACCCAACAGGATGTACGGAGTTTAGGAAATACTGGGGAGTGGAGGGTGAGGATGATGCCACAGTGGGATTAAGTTTGAGGAGAACGTCACAGCATCATGCCAAAGGAAAGATAAGTGAATTAGCAGGGAAAGGCAATGGGGTTGTGTGCTGGTGGAGACATAAGTTTCAGAGTGCCAGACCTGACTTGCAAACATGTGGCTGTCCCTGGTGCTTCACAGAAGGTGCAAAAGTGAGTTCAGCAGCACATGGAGCAACTTTGGTTTGGGGTGTGCAGAAAGGAAAAGCAGCGAGGGAAAGAAGACAGGTATGCACACAGAGACAGCACTGGCACATGCACAGTACATGATGAGAGATGAAAGCCATATGAAGTTCTTACCTCCCATAAATCCCAAGGTAAAGACTAAGCATGTCAAAGAGCAACAAAAATAAAACATGTTTATACGTGATTATTTCAGTGAGTACAAACATTACAGATGCTAATCAGGCTGAAGCAGACATACACACTCAACAACACTTATCTCTGCATGTTTTGAAAATATTTTTTTAATTACCTGAATTTATACATCCCTCCCCACTGCATATTCAAATTTAAGTACCAAGGCATTTGAGTAAGGGGTTTTTCTACCTCTGGTATGAAGGGAGACAGCCAAGCCACATTTAGTTATCAGTGGCAGACCACATAGCCAGAAAAAAAAACTCATGAGTTTGTGGTCCATCAGAGTTAAATATGCTCCCATATATCCACACCCAACAGAGTTAGTATGATTTCAGAACAAGACTTCAACTGATGTCTTTGGATCAGTAGTGAAGTATCTTAACTTCTTTGCCATAATGCCCACCCTGTAGGATATAAATTTGATTGCTTTGAAAACTAGGTGGTTTTCGCTAGGTTTTGTACTGTGGTTACCATTAGAAAGTATTGATTTCAGACTCTTTCTTTTAATGACTTGTGAAGCTAATAATAAATACATTAGAACACCAAATATGCTATTGCTGAGCAGTTTTGAAAAACCCACTCAGTGTAATATTTGTTGCTTGCTGGAAGGGTAACAAATAATTCCATTTTAAGTCAAATTCATACTTGTATCCTACACCAGTATACCCAATTATCTGAGTTATAACTGGTGATTCAGAAAAAAAAAAATCCCAGTAAATAAATTTTTAAAAAAGCTTATCCTGGCATGCAGCTTGTTATCAGGCAAGCAGACACGAAATGCCAATCTGCCCACTTAAAGTTCCAGAAAGTGGTAGCTTGACATATTGGTGTGTATCGAACTATGATAATAACTAGTATTTTGCAAATACAGTATTTTAATTTAGAAGAATCAAATGCTTAATGTTTGATCTCTCTAATAAGAGTGGTCTTATCGCTACAAAAATTTGTGTCACACAGGCCTACTTGACATGATGATACTGAAGAAATACTGTAAACATCCCAATTATGTTTATTACAAATTTTAATGGCAACCACAGGCAAAAAATAACCATTTCATACATATGAAATGGAAAGTCTCGGTGAGGACAACAGCCAAATTCAGGATGCACTTCAAAGCCTCCAGCCATTTAGACATAAAACAAAGTGCAGTCCACCTGCCTCTAACAGTGGACAGGACCAGGACCAAGCCAGACCAGAATTAGGCATCTTCCTTTTTGATACTGCACTGCACAGCACCATGCTCAGGGAGGAAGCTACTTCTTAACTATGAACAGAGGCTATGTCATACCCAGAAGAAGGGCTTCACATCACTTGAGTGTCCGTCTACAGCTTTATTCACCTTAAGTATCAGAGTGTCTGTTTACTAAAAATTCCTTTGAGAGCAATTTATAGCAAGAGCAGAGAACTGAGGCTGAATTCCCATCCACAGAGTAACAGTTTAAATCCATGTAGCATACAGAGGATGCTAATTTAGGGAGGGACGTACATGAAGTTGAACAAGTTGTCAATCAGTAGATCATCAGAGCAAAGCACAAGCATCCCACAAACACCTAGTGCCAAATTGTGGCCAGGCTAATAGCCACCTGATTCTCACTGGACTTATACATCCAGCAGAGGAGACCAAGGTGCCCATCTGCAAGGCACAGGTCTGGGCACCCAGCCCAGCCACCCACAGCTCAGGTCCACATTATCATTCATGTGGGTGCAGGTCACGCCACACTTGGCAACAGGTCAGTCATGAAGGGAGAAGGAATGGCGATATGAACCAACCTGGGAGGCGGGTGTGGGGGTCTTCCCCACAGTGGCATCTGGTTTAATGGGATCAAAATCCAGATCCAACAGGCTGGCTCCCTCCTGGAAGGGCCCAGGGGCATCAAACTTGGCAGCAGTGAGGAAGAAAAGCAGTACGAGCATTAGAGACACACACACACACGCAGAGTAGAGGAAGGGTATGTGATATCCAGGAGCTAAAGCTGCAGGCGCAGAAGACATGGTGGCAATGCAAACACTTGATGGGACTCCTGACTGCTTGATGCCTATAATCACTAGCAGTTCGCATGGGTGCCACTGTAAACCAAACCTGAGCCTTTTCCACAGGACTCATTCATCTTCCCACCTGGCCAAATGAGCTGACATGGTGTAAGCACCTGACCTGTTCTGGTCAAAAGGATCACTGCCACTGACGACTCAGAAGGGCTTCTCTTCTATCTATACCTATTCCCCATAGCTCTTCCAGCTGCCTTTGCACTGAAGGCCCAGGACAGACTCCCTCAGCCACATACAGAAAAGCTGCCATCCATACAACTTCTCAGGAACATGGATCCAGGCAGAAAATCACTCAAACTGCTGGAAGGCAAGTCTGAGAGACCCCAGAGCTAACTCCCAAAGCTCCTAATTCCCTCCTACCTTCTGAGACAGAAACACAGAATATAGCAGCTCACCCTAGCTAAGGGATTTGAATGACTCCCCAATCCAAAAACGCTGTTTTCAATAGTTTCCATTTCTGTACATCCCTGAAACATCCACACACAAGTCTTCTAACAAAGCATAAATTCGAAAGGCTTTGCTACTCTCTTCAAAGTCAGCAGAATAACTCCCTTTGACTGATTGTCTTTAGCTAGAGCGTTAATGATGGCACATTCACTGATTACCATTAATAAAACAGTTACTACAGAGGACATGAGTCATTAGTATTCAAAACTGAACTATCACTTCTGGTTTTTAGATTTAACCTAACTACTACAAGACACTCCTTTCTACTCAGCTTCAGATGAAGCTGCTCTCTCCAGGAAGATTTGCCTCTGTTTCCAGTGACCTCCCAGCTCACTGGCCCCGCTGCTTCAGCTACCTTTCCAACAACACACAAAGTGTGGCAGGTTGGTCTCCAGTTATATCATAGCCCCACAATGGAAAAACTCCTCAAAAGTAGCAAGAGACACCATTTAAGAGAAAGTCTTCTGAATACAACCCACACCACCATCATTTTCACCTCCTCTAGTTTCCTCTTACTCCAATTCTCTTATAGATTTTTCTCTCCCTCAAGAACATCTCTTTTTGAGATCCACAGGGATGAGGACAAGGAACCAAGCTCTCCCATCTCACAATAATAAACCCTGACTAGTATGCAAAAACCAACTGGCATTCTAGTATATTCCTCCAGTACATCCAGACCACCCATCAGAGAGGCTCCAACCCCAATCTTTAGTTTTGTTTGGTAGTGAGACATCAAAGGCTCCAGTCATGGAATAATCTTACGTCCATTCAAGACTTACATGCATTACACCCCTTGTCTTTAACCAGATCTCCCACAAGACAGCCCATTGGAGCCAAGACATCTGACAAAAATGGCCCCGGGCAACACACTGAACGCTAGTGGCTGCTGGGTGCTTCAGTGAAGATTATTCTGGCAACCAGGGTCCTCCCTCAGAACTCCCATCTGATTGAAAGTCACAGCAGATCCCATCCTGGGTCAGAGCACTGACCAGGTGTAGAAGAGTACGTCTGACTAAGGGCTGACGTTCACATGGAAATACACGATACAAACCATGGGGCAGATGGAGCAGTCCATTACGACACAGGAGAAGGAAGCACAGAAAGTGATAGACAGTTGCTCAGCTGCCTGTGGTCCCTGCCTTCCAACACTGCTGTCAAATCATCTCTCTGCTCTGCAAGCTTTATCTATTGCAATGCAAAATCTGACATGGACTTCCCTTCCCATTCCACCTCTGTTCCTTAGCGACTGGGTGGAAGGTAGCAAACCAGAGGCAATGGAGCAGCATGATGCAAGGAAAAGTTAGGGAATGAGTCACAGATGAGCACTGATAGAGACATTACTTGTGCTTTAACAAGCATTTAGGAAAAAATAAATATATATATGTATATATATAAAAAAAGCAGATGCAGATGGTATCTCATGACACAGCCAGAAATCTGGTCAGGCTCCTATATACATAAGGACTGCCATTCTCCTAGATCCAACACCTGGGCATCCTCTCTTGCAGTGATGTAAATCAAAAGGAAAGTGAAGAGGATAATATATAATTTGAAAATGTTTTTCCTTTTTCAGGGCTTCAAAAGGTGCCACGTGACAAGAAAGAAATATTCTGATGGGAACCACTGGTTCATGAAGAGTGACAGACTGTGTCAGCAGTCCTGAATTCACAGCAGGCACAGTCCTGCCCATCCAAACTGGAGGCACCTATTCTCTGCAAAGAGAACTTCATGCAATTCCTGTTGGCCATTCCTATGCAGGTGTGGGCTTTAAAACACAAAGCCCGTGTGTGAAGGCATAGAGAGCACAAAATTTCCTTCTCCCAGAACTGGCACAGATACCAGGGTCAGCACTTGGGGATGTACAAGAGCAGAAAACACATGCTTCATCCACACCCAGGATCAGTGGGTCTGGAAGAGCATATCATGGCATATGAGGGGAGCCATAATCCATGTGCATTGCTGCTGAACAAATGCAGAGGTTACTTTCTGGCATCTTCACCAGTTGCATTTCTCCTGTTTCTTCTATGAATGAAAACTCTCAAAGGGCAACGTGTTAGCCAAAGCTGCCTGCTAGCCACCCTCCCCCCTCTAAGTTAGCCTCCTATCTAACCCTTTGCCTTCTGAGGTCCAATGGTGAGCTTGCCTTCCTCCTTCATCTGACCAGGTTTCATGGCTTGACATCTCCAAAGAGAAGAAAGGTCTAAAGGAAAAGTTCAGAGGCAGACAAATATAAGGCAGGGCGTAGCAGCTAACCTGCGAAGGGGTTGTCACACTTATCTCGGGGACAAAATTGTCATCAAACAGACTGATGATGTTCTCCTGCTTGATGTCCTTGGAGGGGGTGACTTTTGGAGGCGGAGGCACCGGAGGCCCTTTCCTCAACTGCATGCAAGTGAGCACACGGCCACAGCACAGACGGCGACACCCAAAAAAACCAGAGACAGGAACCAGGTTAGCCACAAAAACTGAAGGTGGGGGAAATCACAACCACAGGCACAGAGCAGGGTCCAATCAACTCCATCTGAAGAAAGAGGGAGGGAGGGTGAAGGGCTGAATTAAAACAAAATGAAAAAACAACCACACGCCTTCAGAGAAGGTTTGGCATCATTAGTTACACTTCAGCCGTGGGCAAGTTTCCCTCTGCAGAGGAGAAGCGTAACACAATTAATATGCATTGACAGGACGTGCATACAGAATTAAAGCATGTGCAACCTTCAAAAGAACCACTGGGAAGGGAGCAGATCAATTATTGAGAACACAATTCAATAGACCAGGCCAGCGCTGCCTCCCTTTGCTGTACTTACCATACCTAAGGGAATGAGAGATCAGACTCAATTTGTCCTATTATGGATAGGTGACCATGAGGACAGACCCTGATCTGCCCAGTACTGGTTCTCTAGTGCACTGGTTATCAGTGTACCGTAAGAAAGTTCCGAAGGAGCTCTTGATGGCATCTTACCACTTCTCAGCTTTAGGCAAGAACAATTCAAACTCCTGCGAAGCCACAACTGCTGTGGGTCCAACTCTGCTCTCAGTTTCACCAATGAGCACTGACACTAACGAAGTCGTGTTTCCCAAATGGACATCCCAGAGAATGCATAACAAAGTCTGACCCCGTAATTCTAACCCATCCTAATACCCACCATCATGCTAAAAGACTCAGCCTAACACTGCATTTACAACCCCATGGGAAGCTGTAATAGACCCTCCCTAGATCAACCCACCCACATCCTTTTCACATTTTCCTGTGCCCAAGGCTCAATGATCATTTCTAGATCAAATCAAACTTTAAGGAGCTGCTGCTTGTTGGAACAAAGCAGCCATACAAGTTCCCAGCACCACAGCAGCACTCAGCAATGACAATGCTTTCCATTTACAGTGATATTTTACAGTTACTTGATCTTCTTATCGTACCTAGGATCCCAAGGCAGCAAGACTCAGAGACCTGACAATAAGCACCCAGTATTATCAGTGTCAGGCCCAGATCTGAAATACAGCAATCTCTGACTCCTAGTCACACTCCTCCAGCATGTAATTGAGCTCTACAAAGCATTTATTCAGATTGCTAAGGATATGCCCAGTTTTCTACCGGGTTAACCTACTTTAAGAGAGTGTGAGTGAGTATGCAAACGCACATTTCCACTGAATAGCTGGGTAGGGGAAATAATGAAAGTAGTGTGTTCAATTCCAACTTTTCACTGTTTGCAGAAGGTGGTGCGTCCATATTCCTTTTCCCTTCCTGAAAATCCCCTGCTTACCAGTTGCAAGAAGGGACCAGAAATTTCAGGCAAAAGCTATTCTCAGAACAGAGCCACCATCTGCAGAAATGGGAGGCTCCAATTACAAACTCTAAAGTCAAAAAGATCCCGACTCTTCTGCTATTTATTTCTCTAAAATAGTCGGTCACCTTCCTTTCAATGCATTAGTATCTTGGAGACCACCACTTCCACAGTGTCCAGCATTTCCTCCAATAGCAGTCTAAAACCACATTTCAAAGACTACAGGATTGCATATTGATGTCGGGTTATACCTGGAAATTCATCAAGCATGAACAACTTTGCTGCCTAGAATAAAACAAATCCTTTAAAATTTTTCTGCTGACTTGGATCCCACAGAGCTTTACCAGTCTAAATTCAACATAGTTGCACTGATTTCAAAAGTGTCATTACAGTGTTTCAGTGGTGTAACTGAGAGCAAAAGTCTGACCTTTGAAATTTCACAGACCCCTGGAGTCCTGTGTCATCATCAAATTACTCAGTGCAGAGAGCTGATAGCAGTCGCTTCTTCCAAAAGACAAAAATAAGCTGTTTTCGAGAATTAAAGGACAGTAAAAGAGCTATTTTTCTGGCATAGGGAACAGTTCAAAATTTACTTAGTATTTGTTTGGTCTCTCCTGTTTTGCTGTCTTTCTCTCAACAGCCTTTGCTTATGGTTTGCATTAGTATATATTTCAGACAGGCAGAGGCCAGAGAATTGTGCTTGTTGCTTTTTGCTCCATCCTCCCACAGAGGATGAGGCCCCTAGCCTCCCTAGGAGGACCCTAGAAGAAATCACTTACCCATAGGTCAAAAGTAATGACACCTGTGAAGATTTCAGTATTAAAGTCGAGCACTGTTGAGAGAGTAGACACTTGTGTTTTCCAGCTGGCTGGGAAGCTGACACACACTTAGTTTCTAGACTTTATCCATACAGACACCAGGCTTGGCTCCGAATATGAAACCCCTGTCCTTGTCTTCCCTCCCTCTGGAGCCAGCTCCATCTCTTAGCACTGAGTACGAATATGGAGTGGAGCTCTTGTTCTTCACTGTAGCGAGGCCTGTGAGTATGAATTAAAATATAGACTGGGAAAGAGCTGCCAGGCGGTGGCAGCATTAGGTGCAAATACCATTTCAGTCTTGCCTGAGGTTCCAGCCAGGGCTGCACTGGAATATTCTGCTTGCTTGACAAGGGGTGCCTCCAGCCCCATTCCTGTGGGCAGGAAGGCAGCAAGTGAATGAGAAAGCACTTGCAGGCTGGTGAAAACAAGGCTTATGTGTGCTATTTAAAGAAAAGGGAAGAAGCCAAACTCAGCAAGACAAGTCCACAGGCAGGGTGAGTGAAGTCTGCAGTAAACAGCTCAATAAATCTGTATGATTTCTTGTTCCAAATTTCAATCAAGTTATAGCAATCTCTGAAAAAACAGGAAGGCAATTCTGGATGCACATACCCTACTCCAACGCCCTAGCCAGGACGGTGGCGAAGCCGCTCTAGGCTGTGCAGTGCTGAGCGGTGCAGAGACCCTGGAGAAGTCCTGAAAAGACACTGCCACACATCTCACAGGGCTGGAAAAGACCCTTTTGCCAATGTACAAACATCCTCTTTTTGTCCCTAGATAATCCTGAAATTCAAAAATGTAGTGGAGGGAAAAATATCGTGAGAGGCTATCCAGAAACAGGAGACAGCCTACACCACAGGCCAGGATTTGGAATCACACTGCTGCGTATGACAACAGCAAGGAAGATCTGGGTTGCACTCATCTCTTTTCAGAAGCAATAGGTTTTCTCTTACCAGTTTGGCCAGAACCCCTCTCAGCTTTAATTCTTCCTGGAAGACTCCTCCCTGGTCTCCCACTTACTGAAATGCAAGGATTGGCAACAGACATAAATTTGGCCTAGTTATTACTTTTTCCCCGCTCAGTAATAGAGGGATGGGAAGAGGAGGTAAATGTTTTATTTTCCTTAAATCCTGAAGTAAAACATATCATATGATATGCTGAGTAGCAGCAGCTACATCTGCTATTTTAAACACACCGCTGGGTATCTCCTGTGTAAGGAAAGGACTAACAAAGGCCACATGGAAGGTACCAGACTCCATATAATGGACATTCTTCTTCCTGGCAATCACTTAATTTCTTCATAGCATAAGAATATAATGCCTTTATAATGTCTTTATTTTTAGCATAATATTTTATCTTGGGATTAAAGTAAAACATCATGCAAAGATGTTCTCCTTACCAATATTAAGCTTTTTTCTTTGAACCTTCCTCAGTTACGGAAGTTCTTGAGAAGAAACTGGACCATTGAATTCCACAGGTTAATTCAAATGTAAAGAACAAACTTCCTCGCCTAGCTACAACTCCATCCTCCCTGGATCTTCTTGGCCACCCTACCGGACAGCAAAATGTATTACTGGCCTTCCCCCTGTAGAGGCATTCAGAGACAGCTTAGTTCTTCCCTATATGATATAGACATGACCAATGAGCAACTTGCTTTCTCAGGAACCTCTCAGGAACCAGTGAAGGAGAACAACCATCATGCCATATTCTCTGTGCTCAGTAGCAGGAAGAGGTCCAAAAAAGCAACTGATGGATGTCTTTGACTCATGAAGCTTGTGCCATCAGTGGTCATACTGCAGAGACATGGTCAATGTCATGGGGACACTACCTGAGATGGTGACTTTGGGATGCTTGCCCCAGGCGCTTCCAAAGTGGACGGTTCCAGCTCATGGTTGACAGTCTTGGTCTCAGGGCTGGTGATGGGAGATCCATCTGGTGGAGGCGAGGGGCTTTTATTTGCTTTCGCTGGGGTGCTGTCACTGAAGGAAGTGGAGAGAGAAAGGGAGAGAGAGACAGAAGTCTGAGCCAGACCTAGGAGGGGTTGTGCTAACCAGCACAGATCAGTGGCCTCCATTATCTCTTTGCTTCGCTGCCCAGACATGTGATGAAGACATGTGAAGCCTCTACAAGCTTCTAAGAAGCATCTTTGCTGAGTCACTCGCTGTTCAACACACTGCAGCAGCATTATTGTGCAGCAGGCTACTCACTAAATTCCTACTGCATGGATATACTTTGCCTCAGACACAAAAAAACAAAAACAAAAAAAACAGGCATCCTTAATTCTTCTAGATTCTAATGTAAGTGCCTGACATTAAGTCATAGTCTTTTAATACTGGGGAAGCAGATGGGGGAAGAGTTCTGTGCAGCTCATTTAGTTTTAAATGCTACAGATAAGAGTTTTTCTGCGTGGTGGTGTACTGACACCTGCATGGGTTATGACTAATAGATTCACAGCATCTGAACTAAGGCTGTAATCATAGAATATCATATTCCTCTATGTGGTACAAACTGGCTAAGGTGGAAGAGGGGCAAAGCAGCCAGAGGCTTCACAGATCATTCCAGACAGCAAAAAAACAGTGAGATTCTGGCTACTAATGAAGATTTCCCTATTATGGAAAGTCCCCCCAGCCTTCTTTTCAATGATGAACCCCTTCTGCCCTTGCCCTTCCAGATGGTGCTTATTCCAGGGCTGTTTCTGACACACAGTCAAGAGGGATTCTTCAGGGAATTAAGATGGAAGGAGCATATACCAAAGGCATTTGTTGGTTCATAACTTGGCCAGATTTGGACAGATTTTTCAAAGGAATGGCAAGAGGCACACGCCTCTCCCTAAGGGCATGCCCTGGCCAAGTTCAAGTCTGTGCTTCAAAGCACAGAATCATGAGAGATTTAGTAAAAAGTTGGTTACCAGAGAACTTCAACAGGGATAAAGGTAAAACCATTTTCCCAGCCTAATTCTCAGGAACAGCTGAATCATCTTGGCTGAAATTCAGCTCCCCAAAAAGCAACTAATCAATTTATCTCAAGTCATGCAGAAGCACAGACACTGGTAGGGGATATTTTAGCAGAAGTGGTTACAGTTTGGCAAAACTATACACAGCTGAAAACAGAATATTATAGAATATTGCAAAAGGGCTGTGCAACCTCATCTACAGGGAGTGATGTTTGCCTCCACGTATAAAGTTGCAGTTCTTGCAAAGCTAAAGGCCTTAGGAGAAGGCTGAAAGGAACAGATCCTTTCCTACAACTTGAAACAATAAATCCTGGCACAGAGCCAGGACTAGAGCAATGCAGACCTGATTCTGCAGGGACATCAAGTCGATTATTTCTTTGCTCTGTCCCAGGAGAGCCTAGAGCTCCAGACATGTACATGTACTCACACTGGATGCCCGAGGTGTGGTGGTCATTGGCTAACACGCGTGATGGCCTCATTCCTAAACACTCACTAGTAGGGGGACAGCAAGAGGAGGAAGGGACAGCAAGGTATTTCAACAAGCCTCCCCTTCCAAGCAAGCATCTCCCCCTGCTCAGCATTCCAGTTTTCAAGCTCCCCATCCCATTCCCTCTTCATTCACTTTGCCCTCACCCATTCCTCCCTCTTTCTCCTCATATCCACACCCCATACGCACACTTCCCCACAAAGCGCTTATTCTCAGGTCCGCATGCAGGTCAGATGTTTCCAATGACACTGATGCCAGCAGCACACCAACATGATGCACAAACCCCATGATGTTCTCTGCCAGCAGCTCTCAACCAGGGGCACACACACCAAGGGAAAAAAGAGGGAAAGGAAGAGGAAAAAAGGGAAGAGGAGGGACTAAAGAACATGTATGCCAACTCCTGCAAGCTCTTCAGTTTGACTGGATATGCCTACAGTGTCCTTCCTCAGAGGTCCCCAGAAATCACTTTGAAACAGTGGGTTGTGTGAAGGATTTTGCAAAATTGATAAGGTTGTGCTACAGATCAGAAGAAGTAATCGTTGGAGGGTGAAGTTGAGGAAGTTCTGCTCTAAATGGGATTCACCAGGAAACAGCAGAAAATGACAGAAAATGTTAGGGGAAAAAAAAAAATACATGTTACCTTCCCTAGAGTTGAAAGCACTTTGGAGAAGATGGGGGACACAGTCATCTACAGGTAGTCTGCCAGGACTCCTCAAATGCCCAGACTACACTGGGAATATTGGGACTACTGCATATCAGCTGGCCTACCAACACAAGGGTAGACTTTTCCTTCTAGGGACCTGAAGAAGCCATTTGTCCCAGTGAGAAAGGAGTTCAGGCTTACTTTCTAAAGGCCACAAACCAGCTTCTTAGTGCCTTATTTCTGGTGTGTGGTAGTGACTTAATTTGGTAAAAGACTCCCACACGAGACGCAGCCCAGTTTCCTCCCCTCATCCTACAAGGGCTGAGAGGGCCCCGCACTAAAGCCTTCATTAAGTCACTACTATTTACAGCTTGTTTGATGTGTTGGCTGATCCCCCTAGGAAAATGCCAGTGCTAATTTTGGCTGAGCCTCTTCCAGCCCCCCGAGTGGCACCTTCATTCCTGCACTTGTTGCTTTGCACACATTTAGCTAGTGCAGCCAGCATCGAACGAGCTTGTCACCAGGATCCTCTGTCCTTCATGGGTCCCCAGGGAGCACACAGAGCAAAGTCCTGTCTCCAAACTGACTGCTTGCTCCAAGAAACACAGAGAAAAGCAAGAGTGTGGGGACTGTCCTCGCTGACCAAACATGAGTATCACAGTAAAAGAAGTCAAAAAACCAAGGTCATTGCTCTCTCTTTTTCCTTCCCATGAGCAATTGGGAAGTGATGCCAAATCCAGGAATATCAGGCAGGGAAGGGAAGGGGGTGTCAACTTTCTTCTGCAAATAGAGAGCTGGGAACAGGGTCTAATGCAGTTAGTGCAGCTGAAGGGAAAGCCAAAATCCCCCAGCCTCTTTTAGTGCTGCTGAGCTCCCAGACCCCTCATCTGCCTCATCTGTTCTGAAAGAGCAGAGTAACATCTGCAGATGGGGTTCCCATATGGTTGTAACAATCCTACATTAGAGGATGAAACCTACTTTCCAATATGGTAAAAACATACCAGTCACCTCCCGCCAGGTTCTCAAGTTAAAAAGAAAAAAAGGTTGGCATCTCAGCTAAGGCTCAGACAGGACCTTTTAGCCAAAAGTAATTTATCTTTTAGCACCAAAGCAGGCTGGAGAATTATTTAAAAAAAAAAAAAAAAAAAAGAGGGGGCAGGAGAAAGGAGGAAAAAGAACCTACATACCAAAACATATGGTGGCACAAATATACATTCTTGCTGCAGATCAAAGAGTGACCGAGTCCCAGACCCTCCTTCCCTGCACCAGGGGTTGCACATTTCTCTGTGACCCCAGCAGCTGCTCTGACAGCAGAAACCCCAGCACAGCCCAACTGCTGGGCCAGTTGGGCTTTATCAGGGCAGAGCAGGAGGACGTTGCAGCTAGAGCTCATCGAGATGAGATTTACCAGTGCTCCCTCTGCTGTAGCATCCGCCCATTCTCAGTGACTGGAAATATTAGACCTCCTGCCTGGTGCAGGTACAACACTGGTCCAACCAAGGACCAGAGACAGACATCAAGAGAAGTACTCCTGTGAATCCTCCTCTTCTACAGAAAACCTCAGAATAGTAACAACACAAGACATACCTTCACTACTTTTCATCTGAGGATATAAAATCAAGATTTGCCCATGAGCTTCCCTGTGAAACTACCATTCTCCATTCTCCAACCTCCTACTTTACAAAGGATGCATAGCAGAGACAAAGAGAAGGGTTGTGTGACTTGTCCTAGTCAGTGGGAAGTCAGGATCAGAAAGGATCCCAATCCACCACTTGCTTTTATTGCTGGCAGGACATCATCTTGAAAATTATAATTATTTTTTTTTCTTCCTATAAGGACCCCATGGAGGGAGTACCAACACAAAGACTAAGAAAAACAAAAATTAGAGGAAGTTTCCATGCCATTGTGCAGCAATTCCCACTTTGCTCCAGAGCAAGTTCTTGTCAGAGTCCTTGACCTTGGCTATGGTAACTCTAGGCATTGTAGCAATCCAGTTATTTAATGCCATCACTGTCTTGAAAGGCAAGATGCTCAACATTAGTCTTTATACAAGACAACAGGCTTCCTTCTCCTTCAGCCCTGCACAAAATTTTAAATGGATGGAGCAAGATAGTGAGGATCCTCAAGAACAGAGCAAGTAAGATGCAAAGCTGGAAGCGTCCTTCTCCCACCTCATCATCCTCCCAACTGCCACAGGTAGATAGGACAGGAATTCTGAGTGTGAAAGACCTGCCCTGTGGTCCTCCCTGGCCAGGCAGGGAATAAGAATGCAGCATTTCAGACCTGTTCAAAAGGGCAAGCCCCACTAGGTAAAACTAGAAGTTGTTAATCACCAAAATTGCCCATACTTCCCATGGAAAACCCAGCACCGCGCTTTTAGTCACACGAAACAACTGAACAGACAATGCTTGAGCTTTCACGCTGCCTTCTTAGATAGGAAAAGAAGCAAGGATTCAAACCAGGCACACAAGCAGTTAATGGGATTATCCAGACACAGAGAGATATCAGCAGGACCCAGCAGGCCATGAACACATCGTATCATGCAAAGGACATCTCTCCCATCACAGGGTTAACACGTGCCAGGCTGTTAGAGTCCAGCAACAGCCTCTCCAGCTTTAGGAACTAAATCAAACGTGTATCGAAATGCTGCTCTTTGTACCAGTACCTGCTCATCTTTTTCCTCAGCCTGGCGAACAGTTTAGTTTTCTTTCTGTTGAGGATGGCACGCAAATCATTTCCGTTATAGGATGGCACAGTCAAACCAGGGAGGAAAAGTTAAGCTTCCGAGTACCCATTCACTTGGTGCCACAAAACTCACTGTAATCAAAATGACAACATCTCCTCTCTCTCTCTCTCTCTCTCTCTCTCTCTCACACACACACACACACACAGAAACACATACACACTTCCCTTTGTTCCTAGAAAGCTGTGGCCTGGTTTGGAGAGGGTAGGAGAGGGCTTTTTGTGCCTGTCAAAGATCTACATATATGTGAGCAAACTAGTGTCTTCCCTGCTCTTTGGAATATGGGGCCAGGGTGCACATGGAGAAGAAAAAAAAAGGAAACTGTATAGACCAGCAGAGAACTGTAAATGTCCTTTTTTCACAGGTAATCACAGCTCCTCACTCTCCCCTGTAAATATTGGTACACAAGAAACAAGCTTCCCATTCTCCTTTACTTTTGCTATCTGTGCGCCGTCTTATACACGGAACCTAATCAGCAGCTTTCCTACTATGTCTTTTTCCAGTTTGTCCCATCATACTAGGATAATGCTACAGATCTCCTAGGTCTTCCAGGCATCTGAGCCCTGAAGGTTCAAACTCTTTCAGAAACAAATTCCAAACATATGTCTAAGATTCCCAGAAATACATCAGCTGCTCTGTGCTACTGTGCTACACAGCCAGCATCGGATTCATCAACTACAGTAATATTTCTGTAGGGCCTCGCATAAATGCCATAATGATGTGTACAGATAATTGCCTATCTTCTCACACCTCCTCATTCATTTCCTGCCATTGTATCCATCTCCAATCCCCTTCCCAGTAGAGAAGCATTAGGGAAGCATCTGCTCCTACTGCAGACCACAATAAGCAATCAGTGAGGGCTATTTCCTCCTGCACACTCTCGCTCCAGCTCTGCACCACAATGAGAGGCCAGATGTGCAAGAGAGACAGAAGTGCCTCACAGCATTTCCTGGTCACTGCAAAACATATTTACTACCCTGGCAAACCTTTGCTACATCCTCCTACAACACCCTGCTCCACTGTGCTCAGGAGGAAGAGAGTCCCTCTGGGGCAGGTCTGGCATCTCAGCCAAGATGCAGGGAGTAAGTGATGAAGCGACAGCACTCAGATTGCTACCCGCACAGGGACCTCTGTGTTGTGCACTCGTTTTCGGTTTTTAGGGCCATGTGGTCTCATCACCAGCCAAAGGGCACAGAATTGCAGCTGAGACACCCATTACAGCCCCAGATGAAGCTAGCAGTTTGTGGGCACGGGAATCATGAGGACAGGTAATTTATTAATTGAAAGCTCTTTCAGGCCAGAAACTTCATGCCACAACAACAACAAACCTGTTTGGGCCAGGCTGCCACTACAGCCTGCAATCACTTCCTTGAGAAAGAAAAGAAGGAGGAGGAAAGGCGCTGGACAAAGCAATGGGTACAGCCTTCATCTGTCCTGTTATCTCATCCTTTTCCAAGAATCCTGGAGGACAGTGAGGTGCTGGAGCGTGTCCAGAGAAGGGCAACGAAGCTGGTGAAGGGTCTAGAGAACAAGTCTTATGAGGAGCGGCTGAGGGAACTGGGGCTCTTTAGCCTGGAGAAGAGGAGGCTGAGGGGAGACCTCATCGCGCTCTACAACTACCTGAAAGGAGGTTGTAGCGAGGTGGGGGTTGGTCTCTTCTCCCAAGTAACCAGCGATAGGACGAGAGGAAATGGCCTCAAGTTGCGCCAGGGGAGGTTTAGACTGGACATTAGGAAAAATTTCTTCCCCAAAAGGATTGTCAAGCATTGGAACAGGCTGCCCAGGGAAGTGGTTGACTAACCATCCCTGGAAGTATTTAAAAGATGTGTAGATGAGGAGCTTAGGGACATGGTTTAGTGGGCATGGTAGTGTTGGGTTGACGGTTGGACTTGATGATCTTAGAGGTCTTTTCCAGCCTTAATGATTCTATGATTCTATGATGCTACTACTATCAGAGACAATACGGCACACGGCAGCAAGAGGATGGGCACCATGGCCTCCTCACAAGGCTTCAGTCTTGTTGGGTTGTGATGATCACCAGAGACCACATGCTAACTTGGGAAGAAGATATTATTTTGACAAGAAGCATTCCTACTAGCATCTTGGAAATTTGGTGTTAGAAATCCAAAATTCAGGGGCCAAATTCAACTTAAACATCCTCTTTCTTTAGAGCTGGCAAACACCACACACTGCTGGAACAAGACACGCAAGTCATCTATGCACAACTGCAATAGGAGGTTAAACTGGGAGGAGAGACAAGGGAGCACAGAGGTCTCAACAGCTGATCTAGCCTTTCCGAATCAATGCACTCAGACCACAGCTTGCCCTTATTTCATGCTGACTTCACCTCCTCCCTCCATCAATACACCAATTGAGGACTTGAGCTGTGCTCCTGCTCACCCGGCACGTGGGATTAGCAGCAGCTGGAAGCCAGAGCCTGACACTGTTTCATCACTCACGCATTTGGATGGGAGCCAGCCAGCCTCATCCAGAGCCTGACCTCTCCCTCCCCTCTCAGTGCTAAAGAATGTGCAGACTTGCACTTAACCATACAGGACTGGACCCAGCTGAGGAAAGAAAAATAAAGGCCTGGAGGACACTCGCTCCTCGCATACGTGCAAATTGGAAGCGTTCTGAGATTGGAAGTGCTTTGAGGCCTCATACTAGTGAGGCTGCAACTACTTCCACAACACACACAGAGGAGATGCACCTCAGCTGGGTACCCAGGAGGGGCATAAGGCTTTGGCAAACAGGTGGTTCCAAGTTTGGAGGGCCAAAGAGGAGGCTGGGGAAACAAACGGGCTCTTGGTGCTCAAGCTCACAAGCTGCAGGTACATGGTGGAAGCTTTTGAGGGAAAGAACAGGACAGGTGCTGGGAAACTAGACCCAGAAGGAAGGGCAGCTCAGTATCACATGTCGGTGCACGGAATTCAACTTTAAAAAAAGCAGAGCTAAGAGTCAGTTGCCTAAATTTCAGCACCTAGTGAAAGTTTAGGCCTCCAGATGCTATTCTAGAAAGGTAAGAGGTATTGCATTGGGTCACCCAGCCCCAAGTACAATCTTGGACATGCTCTAGGGAGTCTCAGGAGGGCACTGGCTGGCTATATGCAGGTAGTCAAATCACTCCCCAACTGACAACATGGAGGTTTCAATAGCCCTGGTAGAGACATCCCCGTCCCTCCTCCCCTGCTGAGAGAAAGACACTACTCCCACAGTTACTGACCTGGGCTGTGCTTTAATGGGGAAGGCATTGCCTGAGTACTGCTTGTCTAGACCCAGCAGGACATCATGGAGGTTTTGGTTCAACTGCAAAATACAAAAACAAAAGAAAGAAAAAGAATGAGAAAAGAGCCCAAGTGCCAGAAGAGAGCCTGGGCTGGCCTGCACAGGCTGACCAAACACAGGCTTGTGCCTGGACATGTGCGCACGCTCAGCTATCCCAAGAGAGGACAGCCCTACATCTGTTTCCACTTCTCCATGGGGTATGAAATGCTAGAGCACTCAAACTGTTGAAGAGCTGCTGGCGCCTCATGGGAATGCTCTGTTTCCCTTACACATCATCCTCTTTGCTTCTCTACCACCTGCCCCCACCAGTGTGCTGCCAGGTACCATTGCAGAAGCAGGCAGAGTGTTTACCTAAGGGCCTATGTGCTAGGACTGAAGCTTCACTCTGGATTTGTAGCTAAAGCTGTTCCTCAGACCTGCTTATAAAGCTTGGGATACGGCCATTTCAACTGTGGAGCCCAAAGGCAGCTGGACTTCCAGTCAACAGCAAGCCTTGACTTCACAGGCTGCCTGGGCCATCGAGGTTTGGGCAGGACCTGGATATCTTTGCAGAAATGCAATATTAGGGGTTAAACTCTCCCTGGCACCGAAGGCTGCAATATTCACTCCAGACACTCCTATTCTGAAACAGCCAATTCATAAACAAGATGAGATGCCAGATTTATCATTGGTAGGAGGAGGAATCCAATGCAATCAATGTTGGAGGCATCGTGCCGGCAACACCAGCAGTTAATTGGATGCTATAGCAGTAATAAGAAACAGATGGTTCTTATGGAACAAAGCAAAAGCCCTGCTTTCATACAAAACTCCTCAGGAAAGAAAAATCCAAGACATGATACAAGAAAAGAATTCCTGTCTAACAAGCATCTTTCCCATGTTTTGCTGAATGTAAGTTAACAGCAACAAACTGGTAATTATAACAATCCTCCCTATTCTTAACGATCAGTTCATCCCTCAGTGGAGAAGAGCAGGCTATTAATTGGAAGGGTCCCCATGAAGTGTCAGCAGGGCTCAAAACTGATGCATTACACCAAGGCAGAGGGCCCCTGACTGCTGGGAATTGAAGGACTATAATGTTGCTTGTTGCTTAGCGGCTGTCTTGTTGTCAGGATGACATTGGGGAGGAGAGGGAATACAAGAGTTTTCCAGCTGGGCTCTCAGTCGCTCATCAAGATTAGTACAACGTTTACAGAGGATGTGCAACTCTTAGGAGCAGCGTACAGACCTAAGGAATTCAAGACTTCTCTAGCTTTTAAGTGAAAGAACAAGAATATATTTGTAAATGAAAGTGGCAATGGGGGGCTTTCCCACAGACTGTTCCTGAGGTCTCTGCTGGGCGCTGGCACACAGCACCAGGATCCAGCCTGCCACTACCAGGTTACAACACTGCTTACTGCTGTCATTGTCAACTGGTGGCCAACTGGTAGCCCATGCAAGGGTCATGCTCAACACTCAAATGCCTTCTTTTGGGTCACAGGATGGGAAAGAAGCCAAAGCAGAGAGGTACTGCTGGGAAGTGCCTTCCTGAGTGACCAGACTGAGGTGGGTTTCAATCTTCAGCTGACTTGCAGATTGGCAGATTCCCTCCTGTTTTAATCCCCACAGCTAGATAGATGAGGGTTCACAGCAAATTGCTGCCAGGCAGCAGAGGAGGAGGCAAACAGATACCAGGCTGAGAGTGCCCAGGTTATAGGTTACAGATCCATCCATAATGTAGATGAACTAAAAAAGGTAGCAAGAGATAGGCCTGAAAGTGGCTTCCTTTCCCTCTGTGGATCTGCAAATGAGCCCTGCCAAGTGACACAAACTCCCCACTGCTGTATGGCCCTGTGGTCTCTTCCCTGTGCTCTATCCCTTTACATTACTATCTCAGACAGCCTTTCTCCCAAGTGGCTCAGAAAAACTAAGGGTTAACATTTTCCTCTGACATAGGGCAAATGCTCTGTTTTCTCCAGCCATTTTTTTCAGGGTTTCTTTTTTTTTTTTTTTTTTAATAACAGTGAGGAGAAGGTGTATTAGTAGGATAAGCTGTTAGTTGCCTTACCTTGCTCATTTCTTTATGGAAGTTCTCTTCTAGGCCTGCTATACTCTGGAATGTGTTGACGTAAAAACCAACACGACTGCCAAATGAAAAATGAGACAGAAGAACTTAATGGACACAATGCTCTCCCAAAAACATTCAATTCTGCCCCTTCTGCTACCTCCCACCCACCATTCCCATTCAAACTCAACTCTTTCAGGTCTGGTACATGCTGGAAGAGAAGGGCGGCAGAGAAGCGGGAAGGGGATGATGGAGCAAAGGCCAGGTATGGGGCAAACATGTCCAAGGTGAGGAGGCCAGGTGGGATAGGATCCAAATCTGTGCTGGCTAAAGGGAGAGGGAGGTGCAGGGTGGGGGGGAAAGAAAGAAAAAAGAAAAAGGAAGAAAAATAGAGAGCCAGTGGTAGGGTGATGGAAAGGAAAAGGATAGAGGCTGTGACACAGCTGGAGTGTGGGGAGAGCTGGGGGAATTAGCAGGAGGACAGATACTAATTCACTCCAAAGTCCCTCAGCACCAGGGGAAGCAAAAAAGTATGAACTGTTTGCTTCAGGAGCAGAAGAGTAAGAAAGCACAGGACAGGCACAGGGAGCAACAGGAAAGCAGAAAGATCAGCTGGATAGCAGGAGCCTGTGAACAACCTGTGGCACCTTAAAAGGCAGCTGCCTGCCGCCCTCCTTCCTCTAGCCAGCCTGCCAGCTGCCAACAGAGTGCTGTACCAGCACCCAGCTGGAGCAGCAACAGCAGGAGGGAGATGCTCTCTAAGGCCAGCGGCATCACCATTCTGTACATAGGACCACCCAGATGTTTGTATCCCTCCCAGCTCCTTCTTCAGCCAGGCCTGCATGCTGCTTTGAGCAAAGAGTCCTGACCCAGGCACTCCCCAGAAAAGGGGATTGAAGGCAGACATCAGCACTCTGCTTTCCCGCCCTGCTGCCGCCCACTCTCTCTATCCCCCACAGATCAGCATTGCCAACCCAGACGTAATCGCTGCATTTAGAAGTAAGAAACTGGGACACTCCTGGGAGAATTTTGCCTGCTTTCCACTATGCCCTCCCCATACATTAGCTCTTGCTGCCCTCCAGTTCATCCTCCAAGCTAAATGTTGGTCTGTTTCTTTCTCCTCCCTTTTCATCACCATAATCATTGGTATGGCAAATCTATGGCCTCTCAAGTCTTCCTATTGTCTCAGCCCATTTTCCTCTGCCCAGGCTGTGTTTTGTTAAATAGAGCACAACAGGACAGTTATAACCACTAGTTCCTCACTGAGTCCTGTGTCACGTAGCCAGGAGCACATTTAGGGGCAAGAGAAGGCAGCCACCCCAGGATCCTTCCCTCGTCTTTGTTCACCCAACTGCCCAAATCTGAAAGTGGAATCCAAAGCAGAGCAACCTATCATCTCATCCTCCCTCTTGTGTTAAACCTGCTGCTTCACTAGGTGCTCATAAGCTTGCATGGCAAGACACAGTGATCCAGGCATCACCTCTTGGCTTTGTCCAACCCCAGTGACTGTATAAACCCCTCTGACATCTCATCTTCCCTTAATCAGTCAGCTGACATACCCACTCAGCTACAGATGTTCCTTCCAGCTAGCCAGCTCCACACCCAAAATGTTAGTGACCCAGCCTGCTCTGCCTGCAGAAGTTGGGCCATTGCCCAGGAAAGTTGGGCAGAGTTGGTGGGGCAAAGGGATTAATCAGACAAAGCATAGAAACACTTTGTGGTAAAATTGAGTTTTTCATCAGGATCACGAAGCAAAGCACAGAAAGCCCAGGGTGAACCAGAAAACAAGAGCAGACACTCAACCCAAGCTAAGGAGAACAGTGATACAAGAGCTTGGGTCTTTGCTTCTTCCAACCAGCCCTTGGGAAAACTCCCAGCACTCACCTATTCCATAGTGAAGGCAGCTCCTCCTGCAGATCAACGTTCATCTCTTCAAACACCTTCTGAGCCTTTACTAATTCTTCTTCAGCCTTAATAACAGAGAAGGGAAATTGTCAGCTCCAGCGCAGACAAGTACCCTACAGGGCTGGGACAACTGTGACTCTTTTGACTTCCCTGGGAGACCAGGCAAAATTCTGACATGGGGTAATCCCCCCCATCCCAAATGAGTCTCCCAGGAACCAGGGTTCCATCACAAGTGACCTGATGCCCCTTCAGCTTGCATGTGTTACTCTCAGGTTTTCTCTCAATAGATTTCCTTGTTTGGATACTCAGAAAGTAATTCAAACACCCATCTTTTCTGAGGAAGGGAGAAGGTCTGCATCCTTGGCTGGTACAGCACTCTCACAAAGCTGACTGGAGAAGCAAGGAAGGGTATACAAAGCATGAGCTGTGCCAGCAGGAGGCCAGGCTGAGCAGCAGGTCTTGGTTTCAGTGGTCTCGCATACTCCCATCGGTGAGAATCTCATCTAAGAGCAATCCCTGGCTGGCTGTTGGCCACCAACACCAAAGGAAATATGCCTTGTACAGGACCTCTTTTTTCCCACTTGAGAGTTTAAATTTGATCTGTTCATTTGACCTAGACACTGACAGACCCCAACACTGATAGATAAATTCTGCCAGGTTTCAGTGACAAAAAGGATGATCTTGGTTTCTGTTGCCAACAGCAGACACCAGCAACAAGCACATTCCCATATTTGTCCTAGGTACAGGACCTCTTCCTCTTTTCAGTGCCCTGACTTAAGACTCAAAGCTTGCTAATTAAAGTGTTTCTATTCTGTAACTTGCAACAGCACAGCATTCTCCCATAACCCTGTGCAGTGGGATGCAGGATGGCACATCCCTGCATGAGCAACTTGACGACATATCTTAACAGGAAGGTCAGCACAGGTGCCTACTTATATGTGTGACAAAAGCAGGA